AAGAGTTACATTGAACACCAAGCTGATCAGATAACTCCCTGGTTGGTCTGAAGTCCTTCTATCTCAAGGATCTGTACAAATCGGCACATTATACCAAAAGTCTTCTCACTGGGTGAGCTGCTTTGCAATATACTTCACATTGTTAGAAAAGGCTCCAGAAGGCCTTGGGGACATCAGTATCAGGGGCTGGAGCTGGACAGGCTCTTTCATCAGCACTTCTCCTTCCCTTTGCCAGCCAGGACCTCACATACTGTTCCGGATTGAACTGTCCTAGTGATGGTCCATTACATTTAATGAAAACCAGGCTGGACAGTCAGCTGACAGAGAGAGCATTCCTTTTTGCAGTAAGGATATTGTTCATGCAGCTGAATGCCCGCTCACACTCACTAGTGGAGACAGCGATGGTTCGGACTGCTTTCAGTAGAGGCTCCATGGCAGCAGGTGTACGGGATGCCCTGGTTTCCTTGTATTCGCGAAAGCCCTGAACAGTCTCTCTTCTGTCCACTTTCAGCACTTCGCACAAACGTAGCACCTCTACGTCCCCATACTGTACGTCTAACTCCTCTTCAGGCCAACTTCCAGGATGGATAACTTTCATGTCCTGGATTAGCTGATTGTCCCGGGCCTCCCGGCCATGTAATGGGATTTCTCTTGTGCTGACATGAGAGGAGGTTGTGGAAGTCATTCTGTGTCTCAGATTCTCTACCATACTGCGGAAAAACTGACCTGCATGAATCTGTACAAGCCTGCCATTCTCACGCAGGGCAACACCCTTGAAGGACTTCTCAGCTAGAGCTGTATGAACTGTAGTCATGTGTGGGCCAGGCATGGTGACCATGGATTCAAAAACTCGTATTTCTCGAGTTAAGAGCCTATCTGCTGTAGGCAGTGTCATCTCTCTTTTTTGGAGTTGCCGAGAGAGGTCGCTGAGCTCTGTGAGCGCATCGTACATCAGTCCCAGATTGCTGACAAACGTTGCAGATATGAGCACATCATCCAGGCCCTTGTACTTTGCTTTGTCTCTGGAATCCCTGCTCGTGTCGTTTGCAGCATTTGTGAAGTGATCATGAAGCCAGTGTGCGAAAAAGTACACGTCCCACCGTCCGGGACGTGTTATTTACAATATCGGACAAGTAGATCTTTCAATTGACTTGTCCGGCGGACAAGTGACGTTTTTCGGCCTGATTTATTGACAAATTATTGATACATTCAGTTTACAAAAGGCAGAACTCATTCGCAAATTGTACGTGTCCGCCATTGTTTGTTTAGAAGTGTTAGTTTCGGTTCTGCTTGTCGATTCCTAAGGAAATGCATCTCGCCGCTTTCTGTACAGTTAGACGGGGCGGGAAGTGTAGCACAGTGGCAGGGTTGGGAAGCAAAACACGGTTCCGAGTAGGAACAAATAACAATTGTATCAGCTGATCGCTGCACGGTGCAGCTCAGCGTCTCTCTCTCTCTCTACACACAGCGGATCCGCTGCCCGATTAACAGCCTCATCTTTGTCAAACTTTCTTATTTTCTTTCTCTAACACATAATGAAGGTTATTAAGCGTTTTAACTCCTATGTTGTTAATATTGACCACCATTTCCTTTATGAAGTAAAGCAACCTCCCTGTCTGTGTCCTCACATCCCCGGACCCCCAGACTCAGAGGAGCACAGGGATGTCAGTATTGTTTATGAAGCAGGGTATATAAAGTACATTATTGAAATGAAAATACTATTTATTTACTTTTACAAACAGTGAGCAGCTGCAGCATGTGTATTGCAGGACATGTGTAAGCGTATTTGAGTTGTAGAAAAGCGCTAGGCCTATACATCTAATGTGTCATTATTATTATTATTAGGTTATGTCCTATGTGTTGGACATGTGTGGTTGGACTTTGTCTCACAGGCAGGTTGCAGTGTAACATCAGAGGAGACTGGGCCAATTGTACATTCTCAAACTGCACCACTTAGAACTAACTAAACAATGCAGAGATTATTTTTATATAAATTGTATTCAATAACCGTAAGAAATGCAACAGTATGAAGTGATTTGTAAATAGGAATACAGATTTGACTTAATCTTTTCATAAATATATTTTTCTCCCAGTTTGACTTATTTTTACCCTCTCAAAGAACCGAAAATAACCAGAATCGTTCAAATCCAAACGATACCCAACCCTATGTGTGATGCAGTAAAATCTTACCGCTCACTTACGTTAGCGGTATCGTAAAAACTGTGGGAAAATGTAAAATACGATGACGAAGAAGAAGATTCCAGTGGCCCCAATTTTTGTCCATTCTGGACAAGTGAAAAATGTATTCGGACAAGTAAATTGCCAAACTCACTTGTCCATGGACAAGTACTCTCTAAAAACTTTTTCTCACACTGGAAGCACTCGGTAGTTTTCCCAGACTGCTCTGACGCTCCTTTCACTTGAAGCCACCCAGCGGATGGACAAAACACGCCCTATCACCAGGAGACGCTGTCCGACTGCTTGCGCACACTGCGCTAACTGCCTCTGATTTTTGGGGGAGGCATGGAACAAGGAATAGAGTTTGTCAAAAAAGATCTGGAAATGATTGAGCCCTGAGACCTCCTTGACCACATCCCCAACTGCCAGCTCTAGACGATGATTGGAGCAGTGCCACACAAACAGGCTTGGGAATTTACTACACAACTGGGTAGCAACGCCTGTTCTCTTCCCTAGCATGACTGAAGCCCCATCACATGCAAAAGAAACAAAACCCTGACCTAAAAAGTCCTCGTTAAAATCTCTTCCAAGACACTCCATTAACGCCTTTGTGATGTCATCAGCCGTTGTTCCATCCAACTCGATCAGCTCCCAAAAAAACGTTTCGGGCTCAGCATCAGCTAATGCTGAGCGTAGACACACAACAAGCACCGTTTTACCACTAATAGTGGTAGATTCATCGACCAAAACACAGAGTTTTCTTTGGTTTTCTGTAATGTCTTTTGCCATTTTTTTCTTCAGCTCATGAGCTATGTGGTCGATGATTTCGCCACAGGTTTTATTGGAGTGCAAAACCCTGCCCACGTTCAGCCCATTCAGTTTCTGTACATTCAAATCAATTGGCATGTCTGTGAATGGCCGGCTATGTTTGCCAATTTTATATGCCGTTCGAAAAATTCTGATAGTGGTGTCTAATTCAGATTTATGCATAGACTGCACTTGATGTTGAATAGTTTCACATGAAGCAGATGTAAGGATGTCAGCAGCTTTTACATGGGCTTGTGATTCTTTATGTTCTTTGATTTTTTTTTCTCAGGCTAGCTTGTTGTTTGCCCTTGTCAACACCGAAATGAGACACTGCACACTCAACCCATTCAGTTGACAGTTTCAGTCCTTGTCCAGTGTGTATTCCCAAAGATTTGACATCTCTGCATATCCGACATCCTAGCTTCTTATCTTTAAGAAGGAGCCATGCATTGGTCTTGCAAAAATATTGCACCTGGTCCGTTGTCCAGCAGTCAGGTGCATCGCTTTGCCCGGTGTTGGTGGTGGCAGTTGCGCCAGCAGCAGCTAACGTTAGAGGCTCTGGAGGAGGCGGCGGAGCTAGTGCTAATGCTAATGCACTAGAACTTGGAGCAGGAGGATCAACCAAAGAAAGCTCCCCAACAGACACAATTTCCAACACAGGCACAGCATTCTCTGTATTTGAAATTTCTTCCGGCGACAACCGCTGTCTTTTTGCACTTTTATTAATCCACGCTAACATTTTAGAAATGCTAATTTGTGACGTGACTTGCTTTCCTTCTCTCGGGGGCGTGCCTGCTCTGTTCTATCACTCTACATAGCCACCCACTGGGTGGGAGTTGCACTGCATAAACACAACACACGTGCATCTAGGTATGTAAATTGTAAAGCATTAAAACATGGTTTTACTAACAGTTTTCAGTATGTTGTTACTTCGGCATTATTATTATTATTATTTTGAAACGTGTATTACTATTAAATCACGGTCAAATAGGTTAATTTTGACATAGTCGTTTCCACCACAGTATTTACATGGAGAAGATAAGTCCCGCCCCCTCTCCAGCACGTTCTGTTTGAATGACAGGAGTAAACAGCTGACAGCCGCTGTGAAACTCCAGCGGTTAGAGCGATGAGAATGTCCGTTCGGCACCTCATGACGCATCTACTGAGTACCGGGCGGCTGTATATATATATATATGGATATATAATAAGAACGACGGGAGAGTGTTGAGTACTGGCACGGTGCATGAGTACCGGAGTACCGCCAGCATGCCGGTACTGAGCAAGAAGTGCCGGTACTCCATGGGTCAGAACCAGAAGTGCCGGTACTGCGTACCGGTGAGTACCGGCCCAATTCCAGCACGGGACAGCTGAAAGAGAAGGGTGCACTCAGTGCACCCTTCTCTTTCAGCTGTCCCGTTTTGATGTGGGGAATAAGGACAAGACGTCTCATGTCTGATCTTGTTCTTTCTCAATAGTGTCTGAAACTCCTTACTAGTGAACTCGGTCCCATTATCTGATCTAATGCATTTCACAGTCCCATAGGGAGCTACATCTGCCAGATACTTCTCAGTGGCTTGAACTGCATCACTCTTCGCTTTCAGGAAATAAACAAACACTGCCCCTGTACACACATCTGTAAATGAGTGCATATACTTGAAGCCATTTATGGACTCGTTATTAACTGGACCAGCTAGATCAGTGTTCACCAACTCAAGTGGTGTGTTTGCTTTATCGGTTGGATCTCTGTTTCTTGTTTGGGTAAACTTTCCCTCTATGCATACTGTACAATCTTTATCAGGCTTACGCTTTGTACCCTTAATATGCATACCAACAGTTACATCCTGCAGCTTCAACACATCCTCATAATTATAGTGACCCATAATCTCATGCCACGTTTGGATATCATGGCTGACATGACACTTATCTTCAACATCACACTGTTTGCAAATGGTACATTTTCTTACATACATAAATGTACAACTTGGTACCATCCGGTAACATCAGAGCATCTTTACCTTCGTGTCCGTTAGCTGTAGCAGACTTCACGGAAAAGAGTTATTGGGGTACGATGGTATGTATAGTGCGTTCCGCAGAGTCACTTTACACCGTCGTCCCTCGCTGTCTATCAGACACATCTCTGCTTCTCCTCTGCCGTGCGCCACCCCGAAGGTGCTCCTCCCGTCTGCCAATTCCATGCTGTGTCTCTCCGGCTTGAAGGTGCTGTCAAAAATCTTGAATTTCTTCTTATCGTTGATGATGTGAGACGACGCTCCCGTGTCCACGATCAATCCTTTTCTGTGGGTCTGTAGTTGTTGTCTCTGTAGGCTGGTCTCTTCAGCTCGCACTTTGAGGGTGTAGTCACCTCCTCCCGCAGCTTCTCCGGTACCACCTGGCATGCTCGCGCACCGAGCGGCATCACCGCGGTCCTTCTTTGTGCACCCCTTGCTTTTACAAAAGCTACACCAGACTTTCTTTCTGAAGTGATCTTTTCGATGGCCTTTCTCTCCGCATCGCCAACATGTGCCGACGTGTTCTCCGCCGCCATCGGGGATTAATCGTTTGGCGGGCTTTCTCTTTGTTGCTGCTTGGACCCTCAGCACCCTCTCGCTCGTCTCGTCTGAGGCTGGGGCTGAATCTTCTGAGGCCTCGAAGTTCCTCAACTTCGCCTTTAACTGTCCCAACGTTACTTCACTGTCACCGTGTGTCACCATTAGAGTGAACGGCTTGTATTTTTCGGGTAGGCTAATCCCCGCATAACCATCGCTATCATTAGTCCCTCACTCGGTGCTTCTCCCGCGCTCCTGAGTGCCGTAATGATCTGCTCAGCTCGGATAATGTACTCTGTTACCGTCTCATTATCAGCTTTCTTCAGCGCAGTCATGGTTATATACAAGGTGACGATCCTGGGTCTGCCTTTTCCAATATAGTGCTCCCTTAATATTCTGAGACTTTCTCGGCCCTTGTCCTTAGTGTCTCTGAATATCAGGCCTAAACTGGTATTGTCAAGTAGCGGCGCTAACTTACAATAGGCGTCAGCATTGAGCCCTCAGTGCCGCGGTCAGCTCTCCAGCGGGTGCTCGAATGATGGTATCATTCAATCCCACTCCGTGCATGCAACACAGCATCCTCTCTTCCCAGAGCTCATACTCTTCTGCTTTCCCGTCAAACGTGGGCCACTTGCTCTTCCTCGTGGTTCTATTCGCCATGGCTTTTTCGCTTGTAGCTTCAGTAGCTTAGCTTAGGTCCTCGTTAGCTTAGCTTTAGCTTCCCTCGGTTCTCCCGATGCTAAACTAGCTACTCCTATGCTAACCGTGCTAACAGGCAATCTTCTCGCCTTGTTATCGCACGTGCGCTTCGAACTGTAGAATAATTCATCGCATCTGGGCCCATAACCTGTTAGCAGATTTAGACTTAAACCTTTTGTCTCCTCCAGCAGAAAGGTGAATAATCTCAGCAGTTCAAGTTTAGCCATACATCACGGCGTTATTTATTATAGGCACACATCTCAAGAGGCTTGAGGACTGAGAGAGAAGGGGCGTGACTTCCAACGGTTTTATACCCCAGGTAGTGACATCACAATCATGTGGTACAGCCCTAACCAATGAACACAGTTAGTAGTCGCAGCTACTTACATAAACAATATATGGTACACAGTATTACATGGAGTCATACACTATATATGTCTGTATGTTATATCTCAACAGTGTACCATGCTCAAAGTTTATTGGAAGGCCTGCCGAAAGAAGAGGGTCTTAACCCTCCAGACACAAACCAGACACAAACTGGCTGAACTCAGGCAGCTATTCATGAACGGTAAGGCAAGCATATTATGCTTTTCTGAGACCAAATTGGACAATTCCATTACAGATTCAGAGATTGAAATTGAAGATTATCTTGTAGTGAGAAGGGACAGGGACGTGAATGGAGGTGGTGTCTGCATGTACATACATAAAGACACCAATTTCAAAAACCGAACTGACCTGCATCATGAAAATATTGAATCTGTGTGGGTTGAAATTCTTTTTGACAATGCTAAATCTGTAATAGTCGGGACAATCTATAGACCACCGGAACAGAGTGACTTTTATGATACATTAGATGGGTGTTTGGCTGATGTGGGGGATGTAGAGACAATTATTATTGGAGACTGGAACACGGATATGCAACGTAAAGACACGTCCGTCTTCAAGTCCTTCAGTAGGATTTGTGATCTGCACGGCTTCAGCCAGCTAATCACCCAACCCACCCGGGTATGTGAAACAACACAAACTACCATTGATCTCATTCTGACCTCTGACAAGTCCAGGATCTCCAGTAAAGGGGTTATAGCATGCGGGTTAAGTGATCATTATATGATATTCTGTACCCGCAAAAAGCTAAAACAAAGGGCCGGCTGTCACAAAACAGTCATATCTAGAGACCTCAAAAACTACTCTAGCGAGGCCTTTAACCTAGAACTGGAGAGCCTGGACTGGTCAGATGAGCTCAGTGGTACACAAGTTGAAGAAACATGGCTTGGTTTCAAAAACAAATTCTCTGCAATACTCAATGATTTGGCCCCCCTAAGAACAACCAGGGTAAAAAATCGCGCTGAGCCGTGGATGCACTCCGGCATATTGACCGCCATGAAAACCAGAGACAAAAAATGCTCTGAGTTTCATAAAAGTCAGTCAATGCTTTCCAAAAGCACGAGCAGTGAACTCCAGGCCCACGTGACTGAACTCAAAATTGAAAGAAACAGACTAAGAAATGACGTAAGCTCCATGATCAAAACTGCCAAAAAGAATTTCATCAATATCAAAACTGAGGAAAACAAAAATAAACCCCGTGAACTTTGGAAATTACTCAATAACCAGCTTGGCTGCAGTAAAAAACTCAAAACGAAATTTTCTAACTTAAACATAAAGACAGATAACAGGCTCATCACAGACGAACTGGATGTGGCCAAGTACTTGAACATTTTTTTCACAAACATAGCCACAACTCTTGTAAATAAATTACCCTCCCACTCAGGGCTTTTTGGAGTAGATCACATCATGACCTACTACAAAAACCTAGGGGTACGCAAAGATGATTTCAGTCTAGCAAGGGTAACAACAGCAGAGGTACTCATTAAACTGAGCGCCCTCCAACCTAACAAGGCCACTGGCCACGACAATATCCCCTCCAAATTCCTCAGAGACACAGCAACCACCATCTCACCAGTCATAGCTCACATAATTAACCTCTCCATAAAACAGGGAAAAGTACCCAAAGACTTCAAAATTGCAAGAGTAACCCCCCTGCACAAAAAGGGCAGCAAATTGGACCCAGGCAACTACCGCCCTGTTTCTATACTTACCTCCATCTCGAAAGTCATGGAAAAAATAGTATATGAACAGGTCGAAAAGTACCTCGCGGAAAAGAAACTAATCTATGAATTTCAATCTGGCTTTAGAACATCCCACTCCACTGACACATGCCTTCTTTATTTGAGCGACCACATCAAACAAGAGGTGGACGAGGGCAAGTACTGCGGCATGGTGATGCTGGACCTACAAAAGGCTTTCGACACTGTCAATCACCCCATTCTGATTGACAAGCTAAAAGCAATTGGTTTTGATAAACTATCGGTGAGCTGGATGCAATCCTACCTGGAGGGGAGAGAACAGATGGTGGAGGTAAACGGTACTCTGTCCCCCCCCCCCTCCCAGTGAGCTGTGGTGTTCCACAAGGAAGCATATTAGGTCCGTTACTGTTCCTAATTTATGTAAATGACATGTCATCAGCATGTGACTGCAACTTTTTCCTGTTCGCGGACGACTCAGCCCTGCTGGTCTCTGGCAGGAACAGGTTGCAGGTTGAAAAAACCCTCAGCTCCGAGCTCGGCAGAATCTGCACCTGGCTCGCCGATAATAAATTATCATTACACCTGGGTAAAACAGAGTCCATTCTCTTCGGTTCGAAACATAATCTCAGCAAATCCGACGACTTCTCAGTTGCAGTGGGCGACATTATTGTCACAAGTAAGAAGGAAATTACATACCTAGGATCTATTCTTGAGGCAAACCTCTCCTGTGACAAAATGGCATCCAATGTAATAAAAAAAGTCAATCAAAGAACTAGATTCCTATACCGGATCTCCTCTCTGGTAAACAAAAACACCCTGAAAACTCTGGCAGGAGCACTCATTCAAGGGTACTATGACTATGCTTGCACGTCATGGTACCATAGCACCTCCAAGGCGCTAAAAATAAAACTTCAAACATCGCAAAATAAACTGGTCAGACTACTGCTTGACCTTTCATCTAGAACCCACCTCACCTCTGCCCACTTTGACAACCTAGGATGGCTTAGAGTAGACGACAGAGTACAGCTACTTGCAATGGGCCTGGTCTACAAGATCCACTACACCTCTATGGTACCCATGTACATGTCAAAATTCTTCCCAAAGGTCAAGGAATACCATGATCATAACACCAGAGGGAGCTCCACAAATCATGTGAAACCCAGATTTGGCACAAAAAAGGGGGAATACACGTTTCGCAATTATGCCACATCAAGGTGGAACGCTCTTCCCACAACTGTAAAGGAAAGTAAAACTATACTTACCTTCAAAACCTCTCTTAAAGAGCACCTTTGGGGGAGAGCATTGCAAAACTGGCCCCGGTAATGGTACAAATCTCAACCTGTCATTCAATGGACAGCTTCCCCCCCATCTATGTATATACTCGCATTTTAGACTCTGTTACTAACTGTATATCTGTAGACTTGGTATGTCTTAAATGTCCGGTTAGGATGTATTAGAACGAAATCTAAAATGAAAATTGTAAATAAGCAATCTGTATGTAAAAAACCACCTGTATGTAAATTGTAAATAAGCCATCTGTATGTCTTATATGTCTTAAATGACATGATGAATTGGAAATGGGGGACCCTGATGTAAACAAGACGAAAGTCTTTCTCTGGTCTGCATCCCCTTAACAATTGTATGTTTTGAGCTGTACTGTACTGTACCCAATATACAAGCTGTTAATAAACGTTTCAATCAATCAATCAATCAACCTCTTAAGCCCCAAGCCTGTTTTTCAGGTTTCAGGCTCGAAAATGACATTCCCAGAACAAATGACCATATCTTCCCTTCTAAAAGGGTTAAATTAATAATATTTTTTCTCAAAGTAATGATAAACCTGTAAGTTGTATGTAGAAAAGTCAGAATCAATATAGATGTTTTTTATTTTAAAGAAAATTCAGATTGAACATGGTAAAAAACTGTAAATTATAGTGTCTGTCCAAAAAATATGTTGTACTTATAGTGAAAACTCACCTTGGATGATGGGTTAGTAGACTAAAAGCTTTAGGAATCCAAAGCACAACATATAATAAGTACCCTGTATCAAGATTGATGCAAAACAAGTGATATTTGACCTTTGTAGACACCGGTTTTGAAGACCTCAGTGGAAGGGGCAGATATCAGCTGATCTGGGAGGGAGTTCCAGAGGGCAAATGAGCAGAAAGATCGGTCTCCCATTGTTCGGAGACGTGTGCGGGGGACCATTCAGGGCTTTGTAAGTGAGGAGCAGAACCTTAAACTGGATCCTGTAGTGGACTGGGAGACAGTGTAGTTGTGCAAGTATGGGGGTTATGTGTGCGGACCTTTTTGCACTGGTGAGAACTCTGGCTGTACTGTTCTGGACAAGTTGTAGGCGGTTGATGGATTTGGCTGGGAAACCGGAGAGGAG